TCTGTAACCTAGCAATCTTATTCTAATGTTCTTTCTTGTTTTGAAAATGCTTTTCCTGGTGGACTACGTAAACTCTTTTTCCTTACATGCTCTTGGAATCAGCTTTACCGTCTAATGGTTCCATTTATAAATTAATGAGCTGAATAAAACTCATGCCTGTTCTCTCTTTGAACGAGAGCCATGACTTTACCATTTTAACAATGAGCCTTAGTTGACAGACTTCAGATGGTACTTTCTCATCCCTTCTGTGACTGTGTGTTGTTACCTGCTGTTGGGTGACTTCTAACTCTTGGTGACTCTGCATAACATCCACAGTGTCCTGTCCTCCACAGCCCTGCTTGGCTCCCGTAGACTCATGCCCACGGCTTCTGTAATGGAGTCCGTTCCTTTCCTAGCTGGTCTTCCTCTTTTCCTGCTGCCTTCTCTTTTCCCAGCATTATTGTCTTTTCCAAAGAACCCTGCCGTCTCATGAAGTGCCTGAATGAAGTAGTACAGCTTCAGTCCTGTGATTACTTACACTCTTTTGCAGAAGAGTCACCTGGGATGCCCATTTAGGATTCAGATCCCCCAGCCTACCCCTCAGGGAGTCCAACTCCAGGTGTTTGGCCTGAGGCCTAATGATGCTCATTTCAATAGGCAGCCCAGGACATCCTGAGGCTGCGTCTTCAGACCAGACACCTTGGGAAAGCCTTGCAGTGAACTGCCTGGTTGTTATCGTCCTGGTGGACTTGGTTCTTACTGCTCGGCCTGGTCAGAGGTGAAGGGGGTTAAATGTTGATGCCTTGGTATGGACTACAGCCCAACAGTCCATTTTCCTAAACTTCAGTTTGGCGATGGCAGTTGATCTCATATGCTCACCCACTGACTGGCTGAGTGAGAACAGGGATAGGATAGAGGGGACGCTCAGGACTCTGTGTATCTATGGATTGAAATTGCTGATATTCAATTATTTCTGATGCTACAAAAATGACTATTGTGTATGGGTTGACCTAATAATTTCCTGGGTGTTTCCAATTTGAAGTTAATTTGGCAACCAGCTTGTGACTGACAATTGGGGCATGGAATTTCCAGTATCTGGGGAAAGTGTCTTAAGGCTTTCATCAGGCTTAAAGGAAAAAAAAAAAAAAGGAAGGAAGAAGAAGAAGAAAGAAGAAGAAGAAGAAGAAGAAGAAGAAGAAGAAGAAGAAGAAGAAGAAGAAGAAGAAGAAGAAAAGAAGGAGAAGGAAGAAGGAAGAAGAAGAAGCAGCTCTTCCTCAAAATGCACAAAGTACAACTTTTTGCATACAAGCTCAGGAAGGTTTATGGATTCAAACAACTGAGAACTCCACGTTAACCCTGGTTTACACACTTTTTTCTGAGGGCTGCATCTGTTAGGGATGGATAGAGCTTTGCTGCCCCCTGCTGCCACATGGTTCTCAAACTGGGTTGGCCCTCTTCATACCTGCCTTGCAGTTCCAAGTTTTGCCGGAGCTGGAACTGGCTGTCCTCTCACACCCACTGACAGAGTGGTCCCCTTCTAGGCAGCAATGGGCACCACAGACGCATTGTTTTATAACTCCCATGTAATATTGAACTACTGTTAGTACAGGGTGGAGGGATGTTGTGCTTTGACGGAATGCTCTGCCTAGTCTCGTCTAGAGCACACCCTGCAGGGTTATCAAATTCTGGTGCTAAGGAAGTTACTTCATATCTCTGTCCTGTAGATAACTGAGAGCAAAACAAAATAACTCTTGTTTCTACACATCTTGACTTCTCTTCCCTACTGAGAAAGAAGCTAGGTCTTGCCTCCTTTTGGACTTCATTTAAATATTCCTGGTCGGTGATATGTTCTTTGGGTTCTTTTTGAATGGGTTATAACATCTGCCTGGTTCCTTCAGGAAGAGTTAATAAAATCTTTTTTTAAATGTATTTAAGTTTGATAGAATGTTTTTTTTTAAATGCATTTATTTCAGACAGGAAGGGAGGGAGAAAGAGGGAGAAACGACAATGTGTGAGAGACACATCGGTTGCCTCTTACACGCTCTCAGCTGGGGACATGGCCCGCAACCCAGGCACGTGCCCTGACTGGGAACTGAACTGGTGAACTCAGTCCTCAGGCTGGTGCTCAGGCCACTGAGCCACATCAGCCGGGGCAGAGTTAATAAAATCTTTAACACCTGCTCATTTGATATCTGTATAAGAGCCATAATTTGACTCTTTTTTGGCAAAATTTTCCTTTAATAAAGGCCAGGACCATATTAGAGATCTCTGATTGTCATCTGAGTATGAACTAGCTAGTCCTTTCCTTGAAAGCTCACAATCCAGTCAAGGAGACACTCAAGGTTGCCAGTAACTCTGAGCTTTAAAGAGATCCACCCTTCTTCTCCCCACCCCACCCTTTATTCAAACAGGGAGCGCACCACCCTGTCATCGCCTCAGGGGAGGTGCCTTGGCAAAAAATAAAACAGAGCAAAACAAAAAGCCAAAGGAGTTAGTAAATCTTTCTAAATTTTGTGTTCCTGAGGCTGGAAGAATTGAGAGGAGCAGTGAAGGGGGTGAAGATCCACCTGCTGGAGAAACAGAGGAAAGGGGCTCTCCCCTCAGCCAAACACTGATGTTATTACCTCCGGAGAGGCAGGAGCCACAGGACCAGAAAACATCAGAATGCATCAGATGCGTGGGAAAAGCAGGTGTTTCATACACTTTTTGTTTCCCTTGAACCAGCGTACATTTCCTTTCTTTCTTTTCTTTTTCTTTCTTTTCTTTTTCTCTTTCTTTTTCTTTCTTTCTCTCTCTTTCCGTCCTTCCTTCCTTCATTCTTTCCTTCCTTCTTTCCTTCCTTCCTTCCTCTTTCTTTTCTCTTTCCTTTCTCTCTTTCCCTCCCTCCCTCCCTCCTTCCCTCCCTCCCTCTCTCTTTCTTTCTTTCTATCATCTATCTAATTTACTGTAGGTAGTGGGTAAAAAAAAAACCTTGCAAAACACTGACCCTAAAGACATTTTTAAAAAGCTGAATTCAGCTCTGTTAGCCTAGTTGTATTCAGAAAACCTGCTTTCTTTCATTCTTGTCTGTAACGGTGGCTCCAAAGGACTATCAGATTAGGTTGGAAATACATTTCACTTTCAGGCTCCTAACTATTCTAAAGGGAACAGTTACCTTCTTTAAGGACTTCTGGTGGGGCTTTGTCTACTTTATGCAGACACCTGAAATTACGTGGCCAGCTGGGGAAAGGAAAATTAAGACAAATTAAGACAGAGGCCAGACCTCCTCAGGTGGACAGCACTTCCCCACCCCCGCGGTCTCGTTGTCTTTCCGTCTTTCTCCCTCTTCCCCTCTGCCAATCAGGATACAGCAGGATGGGAAGGATCATTTTTTCAGGACTTTAGGGTCTACTTGTTAGTGTGGTTTTATTATTAAGCTTTCAGAAGCATAAATTCTGTGAAGATCAGACTCCCTGACTTACATTTATATTAACATGTGCAAATCCCTACCCAGACAGACCAAGCCAAAAATTTGTGATTATGCATCATCTCCTGACAAGGCTGCAATTGTTACTTTATAAAGTAATCCTGCCCCTGCTGGTCCCTGTACAAAGGTTAATTTAAAAAATGTGACAGGAAAAAAAAATGTGTCAGCTGTGTAACAGACATTCACAAGCATGAATCAGAAGTGTCAAGAAGCTACCCTAAATTAGAGGTGGAATGTTTTTAAAAATTTATGGCTTATGTGATTAATACTAGTATTTAACTTTGGGAACTTTCATTTTAAAGTTAAGGTGGAGTTTTGTAAAGTAACAGTTACACGTCTTAACAGCGCTTCCACCCCATTTTGGGAAGTAGACCTTATTTGAGGAGACAGGGTTGATGCGAAGAAAGCTTACACATGATTTTGACTCCCCTCAGGAGAGGCGGACATCCCTTAAAAGCTCATCCAGGGAGTTGGCTGAGGAGAGGTAGCCACGCCTGGAACCAGGGAGAACTGAGGTTTTTATTTATTAGGCAGAGGTAAGTTCATGCTGTTATTTGCCTGGTTTCACACTTTCTATTTACCTGTTTAGGTATCCTCCCTCTTTGGGTCCAATTTTGTTTTGCAAAATGCATTTTCAGTGGTCCCAGGGCAGAAACCACAGCTCAGACCACAGAGTTTACTATTTCTTGAAGGAGCTAGATATTAATTTCATTTATTTCCAAGGAAGAGTGCCTGGAATCATCCTTTTCTCCCACTACAGAGTTAGAGTCTCCAAAACAGAACAAAGGTAAAGCAAAAATCAAATGCGTCGTTATTTTATTTTAAAAAACCTGGAAAACCACTTATATTTTAATATATACATATTTCATTTTGATTCAGAGTATTTTTGGGGTAAAGATACGAGTGCAATACACAGGCTGAATTAACAATAAACAGGAGGAGTCAGGCATGTCAGTCGGGCATTTGTTTTCTTTTCATTAATATTCAATAAAGTGCCATTCAAGGAACACTGTTATGGTTATATCCTTGCAACCGCTACTCAGAGGTGATCTGAAGTAAAAATGCCACTGTGCCTCTGAGATGCATGTGATTCTGCATTCATGACCTGGGTCTAGAAAGGGCAGGGCGTGTATTAAACAGAGTGTGGAGACCCTGCTTTTATCCCTGGGTCAACCCTGCAACTTCAGGGCCCGATGGAGACCATCAGAGGCTAAGCCACGGGCAGGCGGGACCAGGGCTTGTTTTCTGTGGGGATGCTGTGGGCAGCCTGAGGAGCGGGTGCTGCAGTACATCTGCGTAATTCCTTTAAGCTCCCCTCCTCTCCTATACAATCTGCTCTGAAACCGAACACTGATTTTCAGTCTGTGTGTGTATACTGTTCCCCTCCTGCCAAATTTGCATTCACTCCCTCTCACAACACATTAATTTCAGAGTCCGGATAGATTAGGAAAACCACTCACAAATTCTGTGGCGATAATTAAGTTCTAAGCAACAGCAGGGTTTTTTTTTTGTTGTTGTTGTTTTTTTTTTTGATAAAACTCTTTCACCATATGCTTCAATTTTTTAAAAATCAGATTTCATACCATAGCTTGTCACAGTTATAAAATTGTAAGAGGCTGCCTGGATTCCTTAAGTGTCTTTCTTACTAGATCCACACATTAGTGTTACCCATTACTTGACTTGAATCTAAACTTCAAATTTTAGTCCCTACTTTACAGGTAAATGGACACAAAGACAAAAAAGAACTGATTTGCCTGTGTTCAGTCAGGAGCAAAATCTAAATCTTAGCTCCTAATTTAATGGTTTATATGCTAAATTACATTGCCTTTGCAGTCCTCTGGGAACAATCCTGGAACCTTGTATAAGCAAAATGGAGAACAAATACATTCTCACCAGAGAAATTGGATAGTTTATCAAGCATGAAAAAAACATTAGACTATTGTGCACAATTGATCATGACTTTCAGATAAATCCATTATAAAAAACATCCTTTCAGGCAAAATAAGACAAAAATTCAGCATAACAGATTTACAGGTTTAAAACTAGCTTGATGTGTGGACTACAATTGTACTTATACACATTTATCACAGGTTTCCCCAAAGAGCGTAAGGCAGCTCCATTAAAACTGTTTAATCCCTTTAGCCATGAGCTTTTTATTTAAAAGAAATACCAAGCTGCAAGTAGATGCGGTAAAAGTAACATCTGTTAGGTGATGAGACAAATGTAACAAAACGTTATTTGTAGATGCTAGGTGATGGACCTTCACTGCACAGTTCTTTCAACATTTTTGTACATTTGAAAAATTTCATAGTAAAGGGCTAGGGGAAAAAAGCAAAAATGGTAACATCTATGCCTTAGGATCTAAAACTTACATGATACACTATCAGGAACTGGTCAGCTTTAACCAGTATTTTCACCAAATGTTCGCCATTAAATATTTGAGTGTGCACTGCATGCCAGGCACTGCGCTAAGTACAGGGTTTCAGCAGTGAACAGCGTCTCTGGCCCTCGGTGTTTCATTCATCATTTATCCCCGCATTCTCCTGAGGCCTGCCGTAGAAAACCGTTCTTAGGGACTTCTAGGACCACTGGTGGCACTTACTTCGTGGAATACATGGCTCCATGTGCCCTTCTTTCCACGGGCACTTAAGCTTCTACCAAAAGTCTACCTGGAAGAATCTTGGGATAAATGCAAGTGGTCAGCACAGGCAAGAACGCTGTAAGGAGAGGTCCTTCTTTTCCGAGGTGATGGCTCGGAAGAGGCACCTCAGCTGTGCGTCGGTGATGTCCTGGGAGCCAAACTGCCCCTGCACGCAGAGCTGCAAGTCTGAGAGCAGAGAACACCTTCTGTCCTGCGCGTCCTCAAGGCCCGGCCACTGAGGGAGCCCTCTGGGAGGGGGAGAGCACCCGTCTCCTCATTCCGCGTTTTCCCCCTCTAGAGCTACTGTTCAGTATTTTATAATTTTATAACAACACCCAGATTTTCAGGGAGCAAAAAGCTTTAAAACATTAAAGGCCTAGGTGACATTTAGCAAAAACAACTAGGCATCTCCTTGCAAGCATTTGTGGTCCACTAACCACAAAAGCTGTAATTCAGTGTTACAATCTGCAGACACCCATCTCATTTAATTTCATCAGATCATCTCTCCGGATACCGGGAATTTGGAAGTGCCAAGTCCGTTCTATAGATGCAAGAACAGCAACTGTGAAAGTAACTACAACTCATGATGTGAACCCGAGGATGTTAAAAAAAAAATGTATTTCAAAAGAAATATACAAATGACTATTTTCCCTTTTTCATTTCCTGAAGGCATTGCACTGCTTAGGAAGCAGGCATCACAAAAACACCCAATGATATTTTATAGAAAACAATGAGTAGAGTTTCAGGCAAGGCAAGAAAAGAGCAGCAGTAACTGTATAAAGGAAAAGTGCTTCAAAGTCTTAAGTTAGGAAAATCTCAAATAGTCAAAAATGTTCTGGTCATCAGGGATTGGCGGGTTCTCTGGATAAAGGAACAGTGAGCAACTGCTCCCCCCTGAGAATGTACCCTAATTGAGTGCGTAATTCACAAATACGCTTAGTTTATCTAAGGCCTACTGGCATACACAGGTAACAGAGGACAATTTTATAATTTTATACCTACCACAAAACTAATTGCTAGAGATCATCCAGCATCTCCACATGAGTCCATCATTAAGGGAAAATCTCACCTTTCATTGTATTTCAGTTTTTTTTCTCTTCTATTTTACTTCTTTCTCTTCTTATTCCCCAAAATAAAAATTGCATTGTATTATAGCAGTGATTTTTCAACCTTTTCCATCTCATGGCACACATAAGCTAATTACTAAAGTTCTGCGGCACACCAAAAACTGTATTTTTTAATGCTGATCTGACCAAAAAAATAGATGTAATTTCAATTCGTTCACCCTGGACGGCTATTGTGCTGGCTCTTGTCATTTTTTATTTGACAATCTCAGGGAAAAGAGGTCAGTGCCCTTGACTAAATAGTCAGGTGTCACATGTTTTAAAAATTCTGTGGCACAACGTTGAAAATCGCTGTATTATAGGAGCCAGTAACTCATTGCTGCAACAGCCAGAGCCTAGTAGAAAGCTACAAATTGACATCCTGACTTGTTTTCTAACAGAAAAATGTGTGCCCTGAGGCACGTTTCATCACCATTGGGTCGGAAGTGTCTGGGAAATGAGGAAACAATTTATTTTCAATTTAGCCATGTCCGAGAATGATGTCAAACGATAAATATGTTAAAAGGTTGATAAAGTATAAATACATGGCCCAAATACTTGTAGGGCAACTGAGTGAAACTAGCGTATTTCAGAGGGTGGGGCAGATTTGAAAAACAGACCAGCTTTCCAGGAAAGACTTGATTCTGAGTGGAAGTCTTAACAAATGTTTCTATTTGGAATGACAGTCCAGCCATTACTTTTATCCTATATTCACAATGCATGACTGGTATGAAATAAGTGGCTGGTTTATGACAAAGTGCCAAATGTTGAGGGTTAAAAAAATTGCTTATTAAGATGAGACCCAGACGGCACACACGAAATTGAAGTAAAGTATTATGTCAGCAAAAAATAAGCTAAAGCAATTTTCTACTGGCAAAATCCTTTTGGAAGTGTCGTCCACAGGCAGCTAGTTAGAACTTAAATTTCTTGAAACGGAATTGTATGGTTGGAGTAGACCTTGGAAACGTCTAATCTAACTCCTTATTTTACAAATAGGAAACCTGGAGCTAGACAAAAAACTGTTTATTTGGATTAAGATTCCTGAGTAGGGAAAAAAACAAAACAAGACAAAAAAACCCAAGCAGGAAATGACTCCTCAGTATCTAATACACAGCCATGCTTTTAATTAGAAATTTAACCAGACCAGGAAGCTTTTAAATATCATTTCCTTTTTTGATGGGGTTGAATGTTTTGTGGCAACACTTAATTTTTTTCTCTGATAAAAGTACACTTTTTAAAAATAGGAAATGTATCACATACAAGAACAAAGAAAAGTCATCAAAAATAGTAGATGTCCTTCCGGCTTTCTTCTAGGTAACAAAAATAGCTACCGCTCACTTTGTAAATGGAGCTGGCTCAACGGCTCCTTCTTCACTGACACGCAACCATGGGAGCCGCAGCAGAGCTGGCTCGACGATTCTCAGGAGCTGGCTGGGAAGCATGGCAGCCAAGGGACAGAAACTGCCGGCTAGTCCGTCGGGTGGTAGTAGGAGACTGCACGACCTTTTCACTTCAAACAGAAACCCACCGGAGCAGGAACCTAAGCGTGGGCTGAGGAGTGAGGGGAGAGAGATAAGTAAAGGGAAAGGTCAAAGTGACCTTTCCAGGCTGGGTCTGCCTGGAACTGAAACCAGTCTTTTCCACAAAGTCTCTTGGCTTCCTCTTAAAATTAAGGCTGATTTTTCCTTTCTAAAAAAGTTTTATTAATTATATTTATCAGGGTGACATGAGTTACTAGTTACATCGTTTCCGAGCGCGTATTTCTGTGATACGCGATCTGTGGATTGCACTGTGTGCCCCCTCCCGCAGTCAAACTGGCTTCCGTCATTATGTAATTGAGCCCTTAACTCCCCGCTCAGTCCCCCGTTTCCTCTGGTATCCGCCATGCCGCTGTCTGTGTCTGTGAGTTTCAAGTTTTATGTCCCATATGTGAGTGAAATCACATGGTATTTAGCTTTTTCCAAGGCTGACCTTTGACATTGGTCAGGGGGCTATGATCTGGCTTCCCTGGAGACACAGTACCATCTCTCATGACCACACAACTTTACACAACCTTGTATTAACAGCATAGTGTATGGGTCATCTTAGGTTATTTTTTTTAAAAAAATGTTTATTACCCACTACATAATACACTGCATGCTACATACCACGGTACATAGCACACTACATAACCTTCTAGCAGGGGTAGATGAGCATTTTTCACCAATCAGAAAAATGCTTCCTTAATCATTGTTTTCTAAACCCTTTGACGTATAGTAACAATTAACTCGAGACAAGCCAATCTCTTTCCATCCCTCTTTCCATCTAAGTCCATTGCTGTGAACAGGCAACCTTTTTACCCTTGGCCCTCAGTGAACCTGCAGATGTGCCCAGTGGCAACTCGGGGGATGAGTAAGTACGTGCCCATGATGGTGATCCCTGGCAGAGCCTCGAACCACACCGCGGCAAGGTTACCGAAGCCCTTAGATTCTTGATAAGAGCCCATGCTAGTGGGGGCCACCCTGAGAACTAGATTTCGCCTAGGTAATATTTAATACCTACAGGCCTTTAACAAATATACAATGGCACAGAAATCATCTCTCCCTATTAGGAACATTTAGTCACTTCAGTAAATTCCACATGATCTCCCTCAGGCATGAGCTGTTGAACCAGAGCAACTGTTCAAGCTAAGTCCTGATATAACCGCTATGACTTGCAATCCTAGTCTGGGACTGCTCAGGTATCATCAAGGATCTCCTAGGGTATTACAAAATTTTGCTTTTAGAAAATCAATTTTGCTCCACTTAACTAAATGAAATCAGAGGGTGTTCCAAAGAGCTGACAATTTCTGGCTCAAATAGCTTTTGTTATCACCCATGAGAAGTCATATTAAGAGAACTAGTTTTGAGCCCTTTTTACTTTTTATGTTGGTAATTATATACGTGCATCTCCTTGTCCTACAAGTATTAGGCATCAGGGAACATAACCTGGGCTGTGGAATACACTCTGCACTGAATAGACAAAAAGGAATTTATACAATAGGGTAACACTGAGCAGCTGGTACCCACATGATTGCCTATAGTCCTAAAGGTTGAAGATGCTTCTTAGCCTCAAAGAAATAGTAAGCAAGGTAGAATGAAACACTGCCACAAGAATTGTTCAACAGACAGCATGTGCACACTGAATAAGGTTATATTTAAACTAGTCCCTGAGTACCCTTAGTAACACCCTGGGGTGGGGAAGTGGGGGAGGGACACAGGGTGAATGAGAACTTAAGCTTTCCGAGGATTAAGGTTCAAATCCTCTGAAATCTACTGGAGGTCAAATGAGAACTCAACTTTATAGTGGTTAACTCTTCTTGCTGGCCACCAGCACAAGGCCGTAGTGATTCTCAACTTTAATATATTACACATATATTATAAAAATAAGCTAAAGTTTTAAGGAACATTCATTATTATTAAAAGGTTTGAGCTCTATTACTCCAATCCTGGGCTTCTGGCAGTAGAACATTCTGTAGCAAAAGCCCACGAAGGCAAAACAAAGAGGTATACTAATTGACAAATAGCTGCTGCAGTATGCCACAGGCACTTCGGTTGTAACAATCTTGAAAAAGCATGGAACATGTAGATTGTCAAGGAAAAACTGCTGTAGGTATTTATGACAGAAAAAAAGGGCAAGTGACAAGTGACCTGTCTTACCACATTCCCTGCTGGGTATTCCATCTTTCTCACTGTTTTTTTGCTTACATATTATTATTAAGCACAGAGCAAGGAAAGGCACTGCTTTCTCCAGACAGGTTTTAGAAAAAAATAAAAGACAAACGAGGGGATGCTATACCCCCGCATCAGTACTCCGTGGCTGAAAGCCCTCCCTTCGAAGACTGCCCATGTCAAAACGAGTGGTGACCTCACAGCGTACTAATAAAGTGTCATCCTTAATGAATGTTCTTTGTCTTAGGGCTTCCAGATGCATAAAAGTCACATAGCCAAATCCTTTTGGGTTCCGTGGGATTGTGGGTCTCTGGAAGGCAAGCAGCTCTGGTTTGGCATCCATTATCTCCTCATGATTCTGCCTTACAGCTGCCTCAGACTGATCAAGAATTGTAAGACGTATAGTACCCTGGAAGGGCCAAGGGAGGTGGCTGTCGTACTCTCCTTGCATTGTGTGGACAAAGAGGGATATATAGTTTGCACAGCGCTGAGCAGTCGGTAACTGAAGGTGCAGGCGCATGCAGAGTTTGTACCCAGGTTTGCCGGTGTAGAATCCAGGGCTATGAATGACAACAGGTTTCTCCTCTTCTTGAGATTTCAAGTGCATCCCAAAGTTACCAATCTTCCAGATGTAAATCCCATTGCACTGCTGTGCTTCTATTTCAGCAACTTTGTCTTCAAGGGTTCGAATAGTTCGTTTGAGATCACCTACGTACATGCTCTGAGTTTCCATTTTTGCAGTCAGCTCCCGGATTTGATGGTCTTGTCTTACGAGACGACTCTCTAATTGTTGAATGGTTTCTTGGAAATTCTGCACCTCTGCATGACAACCAGAGGAGATCCGGGGCAGAGAGGAAGAATCATATGGCAGCATGTCACGTTGAGGCCTGGGAGCCACAGCAAGGTTTAAGCTTTGAACAGCCTGGGCCAACATTCTCATGTGTGACTGAGTATTCTCTTGTAGGTGGCGTGCCAAATGAATCCTCTGCATCTAAAAATCAAGCACAAGCTTTAGGCTGTGAACGGATACTGTGCGGACGAGGAAAGAGACCTAGCCCGGCCAAATAAAAGGTTTTTAAGTAGAGTCGCCATTTCCCTCAATCCCTACAACCTTCTTTGTCTCCATCAGATTCTTGACCCAAACAGATGATCTTGCCTCGTAATTTGCTGAAAAACTGAGGCTATCTGTTGAGTTAGATAAAGCTCCCTCCCACCTACAAACGTAGCAGGATCCACACCCATTCTTCTCTGCTGACTCAGAGATGACTCTCTTCTTGTTCAAGATTAATGCTTCACCTGGGCTCTTCAATGGCACCCACCCTTTTAACACCTCAGCGGTGCTGCTCAGTTATCCCTTTTCTTCTTTATCTTCAAACATTCTCTCCCCTAACACTTTCCCTCAGAATATAATTATCTTTCCTGTCTTCATACTCTTCTCAGGTCTTCAAGAACACTGTAATTATTATATGAAAAAATATTCTTGGCATAACAATTTTTATTGTAAGAAGTCATATATATTATGAAAACAGAAAATATAGATGATCAAAAAGAAAATAAGTTACCTATTATCTCACTTAACTATTGTTAACATTTTGATACATTTCCTTCAAGTCTTTTTCCTTGTGTATACAAATACAGAATTTGCCCACAAAATGAAACCATACTATATAAAACTTGCTCCTTCTATTTTTTAAAATTATTAAATGCATGTTTATTGTAAAAGAGTCAGGTAAAAAACATAATGGAAAAGCAAAAGTGTAGTTGTACTCTCCAGAAAGAACGACTTTTCATAAATAATGATCGATCTCAGACATTTGACACAACTGATCACTAGTCATGAAGCTAATTTTGGAGACTACAACAATGCCCTCTCCTTGCCTGGTTCATCAAATTCTAAGACTGTTCGCCGTAACGCATTTTCTGGTTGATGTGTCTTTTCTTGCACACACTCATTCCATATGATCTGAATCCTATACCTTCCATTCAGCATTAGCTACCTCCCCAAATCAGTATTCTGAGTTCTAAGAACACTATATACAATGCATATCAGCCCCCTCCATTCCCACTGGTATTCTTCACTGCACTATGTAACTGAATTTTCTTTCTCTATATTCAAGAATTAAAAGAAAAACAAACATCTTACCTTTTCATGGCAACCAAAAGTACTGAATGTGCATGGAATTGGGGCTGTAGGACAGTCCAGATCAAAATGATTAGGCATCTGAAAACCAAAACAAAGGTTGAAAAATGCTTTTCTCTTCATATCATGTTCTAGTTTGATGACATCACACTGGAAATAAAGCTTTAGATTTCGCTTACACAAAATCATGTATTATCTATGACAGCGTCACAATAGCAGAGTCGAATAGCTGCAACAGAGACCAGGTAGCCCAAAAAGATTAAAAAAAAATTACTTCCAAAAGTCAGAAAGGAAGGAAATATCAACATTTCATATCATCCCCCAAACCACTCAAAATTTATTTCAAGAATATAAATTTGTTCCTATTGCTGGAAACTGGAACCCTCTAGGGACATTTTAAAGAAAAAGCACCTTCTGATGTCAACCTCAACTGCAAAGTTACCCAGGACTCTCACTGTGGTCCACACCATTTAATAGGGAGTGGTCAATTAAAGCTACGGACTACACCCAGTACTGCCCTCATGATCGCCTTTCATAAATCTCCTTAGCTTTTGTTAACCTGGGCGTGTTTTGGCTATAATGGGGAGGTACAGATGTTAGAAGGCATTTCAATCACATTAATAAAAGTTCTAAAGAAATGTCTCAGCTTTTGATTGGGGGACTCTAAAACAGTCTTTAAGGTAAGATCCATTATGGAGAATCATATTCTTTGAAACTCATACCAAATTCCTTTTAGAAATTTAGATTAACTATAGTCATAGATATTTGAAGGAGAAATGACATTAGAGACCATTTAACCCAATCCTTCAGTTCTGCATAATTGAGAACAGTGGTCAGCATGATTTTTTGTAAAGGGTCAGAGAGTAAATATTTTCATGGTCTCTGTCCCAAGTGCTCAACTCTGCCACTGTGGTGGAAAGCCAGCCATATTTGACATACAGACACAAAGGCATGGCTGTGTTCCAACAGAACTTATTTATAATAACAGGCAGTGAGCCACATTTAGTTGGCAGGCTGGTTTGCTGATCCTTTATCTAGAATGTCAACTTTCTTGCCAGAGATCAAGCGGGCAAGTCATTGGCACAACCAGGATCAAAACCTAGATTTTTCTGACCCTTAACCTAGGATTTGTTCCTACCTTAAGTTTTATTTTTGTTGGGTTTTAGATGCACTGCGCAGTTTCCTTTAAATATTACAACAGAGCAAAAAGAAAAACTAGGGAGGTGAGAGTTCATAAGCAAAAAAAAGTTTAACACCTTCGAATTAAGGCTTTGTTGGAAAAAAACAAAAAACAAAACAACTAAAGGACTCTTAAGACCAATGGAAAAGTTTAGTCGAGTGCCAGGTTGCATATCTCTAGTTAGTAATCAATTATAATCTCTGGGTTTGCAGATTTCATGGGTGTATAAATAGTGACTAATATTCAGGTTTTGTGGGTAAATCCCCCAAATGTCAGAAGACAGAAATCAAATAGTCTTCCTATCTCTATTAATAACATGAGCGTACGGCTTTCTACCACACTTGCTGCTGCTGCTGCTGCTGCTGCTGCTGCTGCTGCTGCTGCTGCGGCCGCCCGCCAGGGGCCCCCGGGACGCTGGAACAAGGGCTGCGGGTCCTGGCGGCTCAGCGCCTCTCAGTGTGTCTCAGGGCCCTGGGGCAGACGAGGTGCTGCTGCTGAGCCGACTTTCCCTGTCCTTTCAGCTGGGCTCTGGGTACCTGAGATCCTTATTTCACCTTGTGTAAATATGTATTTCTTAAGGTGTTTTCTTTCCTTTAAATGGGGATTTTGATTATTTGTATCTTAAAATTACCTGGTTTGGTCCAGAAATTTTTATAGATGTACATAAACATGGTATTAAGTTAATGACTTTAAGTACTTAGGGCAAGTACTTTGATTTTTCTGAAAGTACTTATTACATTAATTTATTTGATACTGTTTCACATAGTTCTAACATTTCTTCAACCTGTATTCATTTTGCCTTACTGATTTCATTAAAAACCTCACTTCTTTACTCTATTGATGGAAATACTACTTGATGAAAGGGAATTATCATACCTGTTCTCTGATGAGTATGGTATTGCAGTATTCACAGATGACATTTGCCAAAGGACAGCTCTGGTCATGGACCTGAATTTTATTAGAGAAATAAAAGAAAAGCATGAGAAGATCTGAAAAAGTAAAAACAACCTATTTTTATAAAAGTAAGTTTTTCACTATAAACAAATTAAGGACATCAGTGTGTATTAAAAAAACAACTGAGAATAATATAGGAAAGATATTTCCTCTCCCTTTGCCAGTATAGTAATGAGATACATGTTGCATTTCAGCTCTTTAAAAGAATGGAGCAATATGTAAAAGAACTTTTTAAATCTCTTCTTTCAACCCGAGACACAGCGTTTGTGACTAGTTTGGACATCATTTACCAAAACCGTAATTCTCCAAAGGCATTCTTCCAAAAATTTCCAGCAGCATAATGATGACTTAAATAAAATTCTTATCAGGAAGGTTAAAGGACATGAGCAGTATTAGGACAGGAGGCTTTGGTGCCCAGGTTCTCACAGGCCTGGGAGGGTAAACCTTGTCTTCTAAAATACAATGAATTTAAGAAATAATTAACCCTTCAGGTTAAGTCCATTTACTTCAGTTTAGAAAGACATCAATTTGTTCTAATTATGCCTCAGACTTCTCCTCATTTATAACAACTTAGTTCACTTTTTTGAATATTTCATCAGCTTAATGAGTATCATAGGCTTGATTTCATAAGAAAGTAGGAAAAATTACCAAAATAAGCTTATAAGAAATAAAATTTAAGGAAGTATCTTCATAGCTATGAAAGAATATAAATTATATATGGGTTGTTTGTGTAAAGAGGACACAGGATAGGTATCCAGGACTAGGCTCTCGGGGCTAACTTTGCCATTACACATTAATATAGAATTACTTACATAATATGTAAAATTACTTAACTTCTTTACATCTCAGTTTCTGAATGAAAAAAACTGCTCTATCATCATGATACTGTCCAGTGCTATGAGGTTTCTTTTTAAAGGTAAACGTTTTATTTGAAGTGTAACATATTTACAGAAAAATGAATTTATTATATGTATAAAGGTCAGCGAATTATCACCAAAAAAACACATGCTGTGGGATTTATTTTCCACAAAAGTTTTAACAACCCAGTCTCTTTTTCAAAGAGTAAAGCATAAGTTTTATACACTAATCAATCTACTTGTTTGTCTCTAATCTAAGACTCGTCATTAAAATATCACACAGGAAAGTACACCAGCACACATCTTTCCTGGAAGGTTTTGTTATTTGCAGATCTACTACAGTGGTAAGTAGTATAAACAATGTTTTCTAAGAAAGATAGACAAATATAAATCCTACACTTACTTACTAAAATAGTTTAGTGAACTTTGTTTCTTAAAAATAAATCTTCCCACAACTGATAATATAAGACTCAGAGTTGGGATAATATCCTCATCTACTGCAAAGCCCCTCAAATGTATATTAAAAAATAATTTAAGGCCTTGGCTGGGTAGCTAAGTTGGTTAGAGCGTTACCCTGATACACCAAGATTGTGGATTCAATCCCCAGTCAGGGAACATACATCAACCAATGAATGCATAAGTAAGTGGAAAAACAAATCGATGTCTCTCCCTCTTTCTCCCTCTCTTCGTCCCCTCCCCTTCTTCTCTAAAATCAATAAAAACAAAATTTAAGAAGTAGTGGAATTAACAAATCCAAGTTAGTACATGCCTCTTTATCTTCAAATGCCATAGACATAGCACAGTTTATACAAGAAACCTGTCTCCTTGGACACTCCTTGAGGATGTGAATATTAAGATGGCACTTTTGGAAGGGACGCTGGCATTGGGGACAATTCACAAGAGCAAACTCACAATGTGCTTGATGATCCTATAATAAGGAAAAAGGAATCGATTAGTACCTGCCAATCCGTAAGGAATCTCTTAAATATAACTTCTTCTGAGTATACACTGTTCCCTCTCGAAATAGCCACTCTTTCACAAGGAGCCAAGTAAAGCAGGCAATTTGTAAATGTTTTAAACAATATTTAATTTCTCATAAAATCACCAGGCTAAAAACAAATTCATTTAATTTAAAAGGAAATTCTTTTACCCAATTGCTTTACTTAATATTGAATTTTAGAAGTACTCCATTTACTTCATAATAAAACGCACAATTTAGAAAAGAAGAAAAAAATACAATGAGGGTACTAAGATGATGGCTACACAATACTTGTTGCTTATTTCAAAATGAGAGAAATGAAGTTATGGAATTAAAATGTGACACCTATATTTAAAATGCTCTTCAGTTGTATAGCAAATAATGTTTCCTCCTAAAACTTGAAGAATACTGATTTCTTTACAATCATTTGGCAAAACCAGAGTAGCTGAAATAAGCAGCATACAGTTTCTACTTATTACGCAATTATTATATGTTAAGCATTGGTAATACATAGATGGACACAGCGCAGTCTCTGTTCTCTAGAAACTGCCTCATCTATACGCTAATGACTAGAAAATAACTTTAGTACCTCAAGATGTCTCAGTTCCATCTTGTGCAAACAACCTTTATTTGGGCACTTCACCATCAGAGAAAGAATCTCTCGTTTTGCAAAATTGTCAGGAAACAGTTGAGTTTCCAGGAGTATTTCATTATCAACTGGACATTTGTGACCTGCATCCCTAAGAGAAGCAAGTAAGATACACATATTTAGTAGACTTAAACAAACATTAACATTAAAACATTCAAACAACTTTAAATCACTGCATATAAATTCTCCATTTATTATTTCCTATGGAAAATAACAACAGATTATATTGCATAATATTATGAGGGGCTGTCCTTTTATGGACAGTTCATGAATTGTCCTTTTATAGAATGAATACAACTAGCACCATATTGGTTACCTATCAAGAACAATGGGATTTTAGATTGTGAGATAGATTTCAACCAAAAAATGAGAAAAATTAACTGAATAAAGTCATATTTTGATTGTCATAAAATGAAGTAAAAGTTAAGGACAGGGATTTTGCAGTCTGGCAGGCCTCTGTCCTATCAGCAGCTATACAACATGCTAGTGAGATAAACTAAATATGCTGCGTGTGATACCAACACCATGTCTGCAGTGTCCTCCTCAGTCATAAGGAAAAGTTAAAACAACGAGCAGTACCTTACAAGCCCACATTTTAAGGTTTCCTCTGAATAGTCATTATAGGAACACCCTGGCTCATGAATAACAAAACTTCTTTATTTTTATGTCTAGGGTACAATTTAGTAGAGAGTTAAAAAGACCTCAATTCCCTGCTTTCCCAGTCGTTTGGTGGTTTTTTCCATCTTATGAGTAAAACCATCCTCAGGAGTTTGGATGTCTGTTTATTTCCCCTTAACTTTTTTGAAAGTCTCAATCTTCACTCTCATACCGTGGCAGGTCAGGTAGGCTACAGAAGTATTGATCAATCACTCAAATATCGGTTGAGCACCTTCTGTGTGGAAGGCAACAGTGGTGGGTGCTGTGGTGGGTAAAAAGGTGCTGAAAATGGGGTCTGCTGTCAAATGCCTTAGAACCAATAAAAGTGCGACACAGCCAATCTCTAATGGGGCTTTTCTCAGACTGTGGTGATTAGTACTCTATCACATATTTTATGAGAGGCATAGAAAACTATGTAACAAATTTACTGAAATATATACCCAAAACCTAAGTGATATATGTCTAAGAGAAAATAAAAGAAACTTATAAAGTAAACTGGAAACCATTACCCAGAGCTAATGGAATTAGATTAATATGTATTTTGATTTCATGAATGACTATTTGGGTGAGAAATTTCTTCCTTTATGAACATTAGAGTCAAAATAGTGGTTCTTTCTAGCTGAGAGGGAGCTAGGAAAAAAAAAGCCTCATACTTCCTTTTGTGGGTTTTACTTCCTTTTCAGACCACTGTCCATTACTTTCATGAATACCTTGCTATTAAAAAATGGCTAAAGATTAGCTACATTCCTGGGCATGATGACACTTCGTAAAATACTGTACATCTCTCTACAAAAAAATCAACAATCCATAATATGGTATGTACAACCTACTAAGACTGAATCATAAAGAAAGAGAAAATCTGAACATACTGATTACTAGTAAGGAGACTAAATCAGAAATCAAAAACCTTCCAACATAAAAATGTGCAAGGGCAGATGGCTTCCCTGGTGAATTCCACCAAACATGTAAGGAAGAAATAATACCTATCCTTCATAAACTCTTTCAAAAAATGGAAGAGGGAGGAACACTTCAAAACTCATTTTATGATGCTAGCAAAACCAGATGAGGACACAAGAAGAAAAGCCAATTTCAAAGCTGAAAGAGAAAATTTACAAGATAGTGAGTAGCTAGCTTAACCTACTTACAAATGACTTCATCAATCAAGCAACTAGATGCTTAATTTTTGAAGAACATAAAATCCTCCCACTTCTCCCAACGTTTTTTGTTCTGCACAAAACTCTTTAGTCACATAAAATAGTCCCATCTAATACTTTTGAATTATAGTAAAATGTCTTTATTTTTTGGGAGATAAACTTGAATCACTCATGGAAATCCTACATACCTTCATTCAGTTAAAAGCAATCATGATCTACTGAGCACCTGCTGTGTGTCAGGCACTATTCCCTGCACATAGGAAATTCCCAGAAATAAAATCAATCTCAGCCCCTCAAGGAACTTATTTTCCAACTAGGTAAGAGAGATTGGGGGGTGGCAGCAGACAGAGGGGAGGCATGCTCTGGAATAAGGAGGGCAGCCAGAACTCCTATGAGTGGTGAGATCTGAGCTACAATGGAGGGAGGGGAAGGCATTAGCTGGGCAGCTACCTGAAGTCAGGATGTGCCAAACAGAGAAAACAACTAAAGCCAACTCCCCAAGGCAGGAGCCTGCTTGACATGTTGAAGGAACAGCAAAGAGTGAATCGGTGGAAGGAAGAAGAGCACAGCAGAGGGGAGGTCAGCAAACGGATTATGGACTATCAGGTAGGGCCTAACAGGCACTTCGGTTTTTTCCTCTAGATGACCTGCTGCAATGCTCTGAGCAGAGATGACACCACCTGACTTATTTAACCAGGTCCACTCTGGCTGTTACATGGAGAATATTTTGGAAGAGGGCAAGGGGAGAAGCAGGGAGGCCTGTGACAGGGCTGATGGCGATTCAGAACAGGGCAGTGGCAGTGAAGGTGGCGAGAAGGGACTGAATTTTGGATATATTATAAAGATAGGGCCATTGATTAATACTTTAAAAATACTGGTTATTTTACAGTTTTCCATGGATATCAGATAACAGACTTTAATGTGGTTAAAATCATAACTAATCAATTAAGTCAGCATCCTTAGTATGGTTGAGGAGATCATATTCAACTATCATTTACAGTAGATTTATATTATTTTCTTAAAGCATAGAGAACTTATTTACTTATTATATACGTATCTGAGGGCCAGAGAAGGGCAAGAGATAGAAATTGCCTTTCATACCACAGCAGAAACTAGGGTAAGAATATGGATGTCTCAAGTTTCTGTCCAGTGTTCTTTTTCCCTGAGCAGCTTTTTACATACAGAACTACCCATTTGGGTTTTCCCGTGTTCTGTATAATACTCTTCTCTGTGTTTGGTTCTGTTATAGGACACAGTTCACAGTTCTGTCTTCTGTCACGTACCTTATTGATTTGATGATGCAGGCTTTGCAGAACCTGTGGCCACATGGTGTTTGCACTGCTTCCCGTAATGCCATCAGGCAGATGGGGCATTCGTACTTGCTTTCCAGGGGTGGGTCGAACTCCACGTCGTAGCCTTGGATCTCTTCCATAAAAGAGCTGGAGAGAGTCCCTGTGCTGGTAGTTCCACTCCCGCTGTCATCTTTGGCTGCGGCACTGCAGGAGCTGGCCATGGCGGCGCAGCAGTCACTTTCAGACTGGCTGGACACACAGCTGTCTTCACAGTTTAACAGACTCATAGTAACGAGATTATCAACTGCTCTGCAGAAAGAGCAAGGAAAAAAAATGCCTTAACATATGTACACGCGCGTGCGTACGCACAGACACACACACACCATAGCTTATCCATGCAGGTCACCTTTTAGTTACTATACATAAGTGCATTAATATTATTTAGGGAAAACTGTCAAAGTTTTCTGAGCTTTACTTCATGACTACTATTTTATAATAAATAAAGGAATTCAAGATCTAGTAGGTAGGTAGAATAAAAAGTTAAAAGAAGAAATTAGCTCAATTTTAATACTTATCTGTATCACAATTATCTGTTTAAATGTGTTTCCTGTGACTGAAGTCAAGAATTTAATTTCCATAACCTCAGTACTCAGTACAAGATTTTTCACATAATAGATGTTCATTAAGCTTCTGCTGAAGAACTTAGTTATGCTGCTGAAGTTCCTTCTAATATTTTGAGCTTAAGAACAATATACAAGGGGTTGGGTGATCACATGCAACTATTAGGTGTGTGATTTGGGGCAACTTAACCTTTTGGATCTTGGTTTCTTTTTCTAGACCTAAAATCCATGAGTAGTTCCAAGTGTTCAGAGATTTCTATTATGTAGAAAGAATAAAACTGAAAAAGTCTATCTGTGTGTCCTTCTGCGTTCAGTCATGTCAAATGACCATATTTCATTATCTGACAGGAAAAACAAGAGAGATTTTGTTTGCCTGTGGAAAACTACTGCTTTCATGGGTAGGTGGGATGCCTTCAATTCTAAATCATATTACATTTTTGAGAAACTAATGTCTAAAAGCAATTCATAGCCTATATAATCAGGTCTATGTAGCAGATAATTAGAACTATGGAAAATTCCTAACACGTGCCAGATATAAATAGTTCTTGAAACAGAATGTAAGCTCCCAGTCAAAACGGTAGACCATCATCCTCCTAGTGGGTTAGGAGAGCAATCCTCTTCTCTTTTTTTTTAAAATCTCTACAGATACCTATTTTTTTTCCTTATCAAGAAGATTCTGAGTCCCATCCGATGAGCACCGAAAATGGATGAAGCCTGTTCTGGCTGCAGAGGCAATATAGCGAATGAGAGAATTACTGAAAGGTGTTACTATGTGAAAGCACTTAAAACTGTGCCTGGTAGCACGCATTACCGTTAAGTGTAACTCTATACAGTAATCTTATAATTCTATTGTTCCTTCCCCCTTATCAAAATGGAAACTACAGAACTTAAGAAAGGTGAAGTGACTTGCTGAGGACTACCCACATAATGAGTAACAGCTGGAATCCGAACCCAAGTCGACTTGACCCCATGCCTGTGCCCCTTGTACTATACCACGTTTGTCTCTTTGTGTTTTGACAAACTTGTCTATAAAGCTGCATTTAAAATTTCTTTCTCTTTATTTATACTACACTGGACCAGGGACTTTCAACCTTTTTCATCTCATGACACATGCACACTAATTACTAAAATTCTGTGGCACAACAAAAAAGGTTATAATATTTGCCAAGTTAACAAAAAAGAAAAAAAAGGTATAATTTTGATTTATTTACACCAATGGCTGTTGTTCCGTTGGCTGTTGTCATATTTCTTTTTTTTTTTTTTTTAAATTTGGCAATCTAAGGGAAAAGAGCTCAGTGCCCCTGACTACATGGTCAGCTATTGCATGTTTGTTTGTGTTTTTATATCCTCACCCAAGGATATGTTTATTGATTTTAGAGAGATGAAGAGGGAGACAGGGAAAGAAGGAGAGAGACAGACAGACACATTGATATGAGAAACATCAATATGAGAGAGAAACACAGATGGGTTGCCTTCCATATGTACCCTGACCAGGGACTGAATTCCCAACCTAGGTGTGTGCCTGACCAGGAACTGAACCTACTACAACCTTCTGGTGTATGGGATGACACTCCAGCCACTGAGTTACCTGGCCAGGGTGCATCTTTTAAAAATTCCTGTGACACGCTGGTTGAAAATCATTGCACTAGACTAATGTGCTGACCACAGCTTCTTACTAAACATGACCCATCCAGCGTTATTATACTGGTTGACAGGATTTCAAAGATTCAGTAGAAAAAAAACTCACACTTTGTTTTACTTTTAATACACAACTTTTGAAAAGTTAAAAATAGCTCCCAAAGCCATTATAGCTAATGTGAATTCCTCAGGAAGACTTGGTACAGGCTGAGAGGAAGGGAAGGATGGCAAGATAGTGGCAAACACAACTAGCATTCTACCTGTGCTCCAGGATGGCACAGGAGGCTCCCGCCATACCTTCCAAACCTAAGGACATATGACACTGTTATGCTATGCTAGGGTTTATGTCTTTTGATATTTTTCTTCCCTTATACATTTTTGTGTCCAATTACTTCCTTAGGTAAATCTCGTAGAAGCAGAATTATTAGGTGAAAGGGATGTAACTTTCCCAGGTTTTTGACAGATAATGCTCTTTATCCAATATGTATCAAAGGCTTTTTAATTCCTACTCCCAAAAGCAGAGTGAGCTTGAGAGAAACCATTTTATATATCCTTGACAATTCTAGGTATATTTATCTTTTGGATCTTTAGCCATTATTATTTTTTTTTAAATAATCACTTTGAGAAATTGGTATTTGTTATCTAGTTGTACAGAATGTATCAAAGTACTAGTCAAAAGACAAAAGCAAGTTCCTGAGCTAAGTCTACTTTTTCTGGCCAACTGTCCAGTTACAATTCAGTTTACTGGATTGTCTATATACTGCCCTCTTGCAGTCTCATTCCAAAGAGTTGAAGGTCGTTAGATTGAGAGACCTTTTATAGCAAATGTGTTACTAAGAAAACCTGTCTAATCAGTCACCATTCCTTAAAAAGAAGTCCACTGTAGGAATGCAGTGTAGAATATGAAAGCAAGTGCTCTTAAAAATCTAGAGGTCTTCAATTTTTCACATTACTTCCCTTCCTCCCTCCCTTCCTGTTTAGATACAGGGAAGGGAGGAAGAAAGAAAGGAGAGAAACATTGATGTGAGAGAGAAACATCGATCAGTTGCCTCCTGTACATGCCCCTACCAGAAACTGAACCCGCAACCCAGGCATGTGCCCTGACTGGGAATTGAACCAGTGACCTTTCACTTTGTGGGACGACATACAACCAACGAAGCCACACTGGTCAGGACTATGAGGATTCTTTTTAACTTCATATGGTGCCACAGGTATCTGCTTCATGAAAGGCTACACAAGCCACTTTTGGCTTTACGTAACCTCTGAAAGATGACACGGGTGGAGCCATATTACTATAGTCAGAGAAGTCATTGCAGAGGAACTGTCCTGTGAGGCTTATGTGTCTTATTCTTCCAAACTGGACCGACCAGCAGCATCCCAAGAAGTCCGTAAGAAGCAGCATACCCTGTTTAAGAACTGATGAAAATAGACTTTGCAGATGACCAAGTCACTAACCAATCAATGAAGTACAAGTCTAGTCTTACCTCATCTAGCACCAGCGACCTCTTCTGTAATATAACTTGCCTCACTTTCCTCCTTTTTTCCTCAATCTCCGTGCTTCTCTCCTGTAGTGGGGGGCCCTTTTGGGATTCTGCTCCCCATAGGGCAATCCTAGTGAATCCCAAATAAATGCGTACTGCCTCCCATTTTGGCTTTTATTTTTTAGGTTAAAAAAGCTAAAATAAATAAGAATTAAAATATATTCTACCTATAAAATAAAGATTTTTCATAGCCGCTTTTCTCCTCTTAATATTCAGAATTTATGTTGTTTCTACAGAAATTAATAGAAGGGACAGAATGAAGTTTAAATCATTCCTTACCTTGCAGGTTAAGAGCTTCATCCTTATTATTATTATTATTATTTTTTCTTTTGCAGTTGTGAATCTAGTAGAGTAAGCACTGCCTTAATTAAATATTGTGGGATGTAACCATTGCCAACTTAATTAGACTGCAAAAAGAATAAGTATTGAAAACAACCTTGTCATAAAGCATGGCTTAAATCCACCTATTTGTATCTGGGAATATACAGGATCCAGCAGAAGTAACGTCTGCTTCAGTGCAGTTGGTAGGGTAATAATATGGGTGTAATAATGCATAGTTTTAATTTGAACATTTCGCCTAAAATGTCACATGGTGCGCTTAAATGTGATGTTGTTACAGAATTACACACATATAATTTTGTAATAAAAGTTTTTGTAATAAAAAAGGGGCATTATTTGTGCTGAACACTATATTAAAATGCAGACAATATTCTCTTAAATGTCTTGGGTGAGGGTGAGTAAAGTGATGCACAAAAATTTGTTTCCCTAAGATCCACAGGTGCTAATGAGAGAAATGTCAAAGCTAAGGAAATGAACAAGTTATATCTTGAATTGGTCAATTTAAGCCAATGGAAAGTCATTCACAACTAAACATATAACTCATAAAGTAAAACGATATAAAACGAACAGTTTATGTATCATACAAATGTACACTTGAAACCTATATAACCTTATTAGCCAATGTCACTCCAATAAATTTAATTTATTTTTTAAAGAACAGGAAATTACCGTTATAGTGCTGCTACCTTTAGAAATGGGAACTATTTACTAACTCCATAAAATCTATTTTTAAAAGGCAGAGAGAGACCTGCAAATACAATACTGCAAAAAATAGTCAATTGTTATGCCTTAACTTTGAATACAGATTCAAGGGGCAGTCCCCTTTCTCGGTACTATTTGTCCCCCCCAGGAGGCAAAAATTTGAATAATTTTTTCAAAATCCAAGTGGACAACAATTTATCAGTGTCACAGTTGCAACTTTCCCACAAAAAAAAGACCCCAAATTACAATCCTGAAATACTGTAAAGAATACAGCATGTGCAGGATGAAACTCATTATCACGTGGGCAAGAAGTGCCTGAAACACATTCCTTCCTTGAGTTACAGAGGCCCCGCTGTCCTGGCCCAAAACCCAGGCTCAAAGTCAGAAAAGCCCCTTTTACCTTCCTTAATAATCCCCAGGGGATGGATAAAACGCCAACACTTAGAATTTAACAAGTTTTCCTGAACCTGTGTAGCTAGATATCTAATAATTTGCTCCCCCGAGAAGTAAAAGCAGCACGCAAACACTCTACATTCAAACTGCTAATACAATACTTTAGGTGCTTTCTGTTCATTCATGACAGTCCCACCTCTCAGTTCGAGTTCCTCTAAAGCCAAATACTAGGAACAGCTTTATCAACCCTGCGTCTGAACAATCGCTAGAACGACGAGAGCAGGGGCGGGGGAGGAAAGATTCGTGTGATCTGAACTTACTTTTTTTAAATTTGCTGCCTGGGACCTCTAACGATTTCAACGAGGAACCCAAAAATAGCTTTCCCATGACAGTGACAGAGGGAGCCGGTGAGAACCTAAAGGGATTTTTTTTTTTTTTTTTAAACTGGTATCAGCTCCGAAGGACGGGAAAATCCAGGAGGCAATTTCCTTTTCTGGGAAGGGGAATATGCAGATTGACAAAGTGGGCGCGGGATGCCCACCAGGGAATGGCGTGAGAGGGGAAGGAGGTCCCCGCGGGCTTGGGGCACAGAGGGGAGGGGAGAAGAGGCGGCGTTCCCAACCTCTGGGAGCCGAAGAGACAGGGGCGACATCCCCAACCCGAGGGAAACGAGAGGATAGGGGGCGGCGTCCCTAACCTCCGAGAGGCGAAGGGAAAGGGGGCGACGTCCCCAATCCTAGGGAAACAAGAAGCGGGGCGGCGTCCCCAACCTCCGGGAAGCGAAGGGCCAGGGGAAGACGTCCCCAACCCGACAAAAACGAGAGGAGAGGGGGCTGCTTCCCCAAACTCTGGGAAGCGAAGAGACAGGGGGAGAGGTCCCTAACCTGAAGGAAACGAAAGGAGAGGGGGCGGCGTCCGCAATCTGGGTAGAGAGGCCGCGGCCGCCCCGGAGGAGACGTCAGAAGCAGACTTACCGCTCTCGTCCTCTGGGCCGCCGATTCCACCCAACCACACGACTCCGCTCAGCCAAGGAATCAGGAGAGGACAGGCACCGCGCTCCGAGCCGAGGCGGCCCGGATGCCCACCTCCCGGCCCGAAGGCCGCCGCTACCGCGTCCCCGGGCCGCCCGGAGCCCGAACCCCAGCCGCGGACGCCCTACTTCCGCCTTCTCTGCTAGCCCAGGGGAGCCAGGGCGGGGAAAGGGGCAGGGTGGAGACAGGGCGACGGAGCTGGGTCTGCGCCCCCTGGCGGCGGTCCTCCACAGGTGCGCGGGCTGCGGCGCAGGCGCGGGGCAAGCTCGGCTAAAGAGAGCACTCCGGCTGGGTTTCTCTCGCAAAGAACTCTGACGTTGAGACCTGTCCTGGAGGAACTGTGAGCGACCTGGTGAGCAGCTGCAACAACAGCAGTAGTCGAAACTGTTTTTATAGCTTCCTGTATCCAATCAGGAGAAACCCCACCTGGTCTAGATCACTTGAACTGCGGGAATTCTTATATTCCTCCAGGACTCCGCCTTCCCTGCCCAGAAAGTTTCCATGGTAGGTAGAACCCACTATTATCACCTGGTCCTTCGCCTTCAGCCAGTCCAAGCGAGTCTGACCCATATATTAAACATTTTCCCCACCTCCGACTGCTGACATCTACACCACCCGTTTTTTTCTATCAGTGTCACGAGAAAACTATTTTGAATTTTCCCTGTTTAACTGGATGCAAACAGTGTTCATGTGTACATACTCTGAAACCACAGTGCTTCACTTAAATCTAGTTTTTCCCCCTTTTATAAATTGTGACTTCAGATAATTTACTTAATGTGATTTTCTTCCATTTTTTTCTATCTCATCTTACAATGGGGATAATAATAGAACCTACTTCACTGGGTTCTTGGAAAGGTGAGATTAACTGCAACTGTAAAGGTAAAGTAAATACATTATTTAAAACTATCAAGGACAGCAGTTTTCAACCGGTGTGCTGCAAGAATTTTTAAAACATGCAATACCTGACTATTTAGTCAGGGGCACTGACCTCTTTTCCCTTAGATGGTCAAATAAAAAAAATGACAACAGCCAACACAACAGTAGCCATCCAGTGTGAATGAATCAAAATTATACTTATTTTTTTTGTCAGATTGGCAAAAATAGAACATTTTTTGGTGTGCCACCGAATTTTGGTAATCAGTGTAAGTATGCCATGACAGGAAAAAGGTTGAAAATAATTGATCTAGGATACAGTGTGTTCTCATTAAGTGATAACAATACTGTATTTCCTGCTTTCTGGCTGCCAATATTCATAAGAAGTGCTTATGTTCTCAAGGTGTAACTTGTCACTGGTTCTCAGACTTCTTTTGCCCTCCCACTCTTTTTTAAAAACATATTTTGAGCCCCGGCCAACGTGGCTCAGTGGTTGGAGTGTCGTCCCATAACCGGAAGGTTGCAGGCAATTCCCAGTCAGGGCACATGCTTAGGTTGCAGGTTCATCCCTGGTGCTGGCGTGGGTGCGTGTGACCTTTGGTCCTGACGCATCCCATTCTGGCCTCGGTGCAGATCCTTGGCCTGGGTGGCTATGGAAGCAACCAGTCAATGCTTCCCTTGTTTGGATGTTTCTCTTTCTTCCTTCCTCTCTCCTGTCTTCTCTCTCTAAAAAAGCAAATAAACATGTCCCCAGGTGAGGATAAAAATAGAATAAAAATAAAAGCATACTTTGAAATATTTCAGACATAAAAAGAATTATATACACACATCTGTGTGCTCACCATCCAGCTCCAGAAATAAAACATTGCTAGAAGAATTATCAGCCCCTGTGTACTTGTATTCCTCCCCAGCCCCGCTACTTGCCTTATAAAAACAAATCACTTATGGGATGACAGAGAGATCATTATATGAAATTGAAGATAGAGAAAAGAAAGAGCATGGGAGTTAGACTTCACTCCTTTTATTAGCATAAACTCCGGAGCAAGCTTTGTAACCCTCACAAGCTTCAGCTTCCTAAACCATAAACGCGCGGATAATATTTACCTTCCAGGCTACTGTCAGGATCAACTCATAAAAATGTATGTGAGAGAACCTCACACCGGGTTTTCAAAAACATTAGGTGTTCTGTGTCCTTAAGGGGCCTCCCTCTGCTCCCTCCAATTCTAATATTCTTCTCTATTTCATATATGGTGGTTGGGGGCAGGGGTGGTTTAGTGCTCATCCAGGCCTTAGGCACAACAGGAAACTTTCACTTCCCTGCCTCCTTGCAGTCAAGTGGTGTCACATGACTAGTCACATGACCCACAGTCTAGGAGGGAAAAGGATACCTGTCTTTCAAGGCCAAAATGTTTGATATTCATTGCAAGACTTTCTTCCCCATGCGGGAACCAAGGAGACCATGGGGCAGCTATAAGAGGGTGCATCACTAAATTGCTGTGTGGAGGACAGTTGCCTTGGAAAGTCAGTTCACTTGCATTGGACTTGACATGAGCCAGAAACAAATGTCTGTTCTTTTAAGATATTGAGATGTCAGAGTTGCCTTTTCTGCGGTATAACCCAGCCTATCCTATGCACAGTTTCTCCTTGAGGTCTTTCCTAACAGTTTGTTTCCCTATGGAACTAGGAATCAGAAAACCAAAGTTTTACTCCTGGCTCTGCTTCTTTCCTAAATCGGGAGTTGGTCAGGTGTTTTCATCTATCAAGTTGGAATAAAATATACCCTATCTTGTTTCCAGAGCTGTGATAAGATCAAATGAGATCATATATGTGAGAATGATTTTCAAACTAGGAAGCCCTATAGAGATGAAGGGAACTGAATGTTTCAATTAGTGGAGTTACCGGATATGTACAGCTGCCCAGGTTCTCTGAAGTGCTGCTAGTTTGAAATATTTTGCTCAGGTCTCCTTATCTAAACAAACCAAAGTGTACAAAAATATTATTACAATGTCATTCCTGGATTGCTTTTTTTCACATTCTATGTGAAGAATGAAATAAGACACACCTTGTAGACTGTTGCAGGTGAGGATGGGCAGGTGAGAGGTTCTTTTCCCAAACACTCAACAGTAAGATAGGTAAATTATAAATAAAAGTTAAATTATAAAATTAAAACATAATTCATTAGTTCAAAACATTTCTTGAACAACCATTATGTGTATGTGGCAGACGTATTTATGCTCTGTGTGATCCCCTTCCACAGTGAATAGGGTGTAACCGATAAGAGATGAAAATGACAGAATGGGACTGCCTAGGCTGGTTTCACTCCAGGGTTTCAAAGGAACCAAGTCAAGAATTCACAGCTGCTAAGGGAGAATTTCTTGGACAATAAGAAGAGCTCTAGTAAGAAATATTCTAGGTGACTGCATCTTATTTTATTCAGAAAACAAATTCAAAACAAACCAGTTTTCTATTATTCCTTCCATCCACTTCTTTCTCTGTCCCCTCCCTCCCACTCCTCTCCCTCCCACTCCCCTCCCCTTTCCTCCCTCCCTCCCTCTCTCCCTTCCCTGCTCCCTTCCTCTTTCTTTTCTCTTTCTTTCTCTTTCTTTCTTTCTTTCTTTCTTTCTTTCTTTCTTTCTTTCTTTCTTTCTTTCTTTCTTTTTTTCTTTCTTCTTTTTCCTTCTCTTTCATCTTAACATCCATCCATTTGTCACATACTCATATATGGTCTTTATGTTACAGTTAACACAAGTGAGATGGTTTTCATGATGCATGTTATTGGATTGATTATCATTGAAAACTGATGGAAAGTGAATCTGATTGATTGGATTGGTTTGTCAATGAGGACTGGCTTTACTAATTAGGTTATATGTTAGCTCTATATGTGCAACTCCAAAGTTTTGTCAAAAAATATGTAAAGCATATGTAAAATATACAATATGGTAGAATTAGATTCTTTGCAACTATTTGAATTTAAAAACAATTTAGATGCCAACCTAAAAATATGCAATGGAATATATCATCTTATAAGGATACCTTAAAGTCAGAATCTTTCTCGCACCAGAAACTGAGAGAGCAAGACAATAAATATAATAACCTTTGATAAAATTACAGACAAGAAAGACTCAGTTAATCAGAAGAGGAATTAGAGATGATGGGGCCTAGGACAAGAGAGACCCAGTGTGGGAGTTCCCATGTGCATGCTGTTCGGGGGAGGAAGTGCCCTGCATCAAAATGTCCCCTTAGTTGCCCAGGTCCAAAGGCAGGAGTCTTGGACACGCCCTCATGTCATTAATCTTTGGGTTGTAATAGCAGTTACCTATTGAATGAGTTCATGCTCTCTGACCGTGGCTAAAGGAAGCCTAAAAAGCACACGAGTGGTCGTCACTCAATAGAGGATTCCGGCCTTGGCGTAGATTTCAAGCACAATAAGTTGTAGGGTAACCCTCACCCTCTCTCCCTCCTTCTTCTCACCCCACTCCACCAAAATAAGGGAATGACCTCAGAGAGCAGAGGAGGGAGGAGCTGATGACCACTGACGTGGCAGGGGCAAAGAGGGAAAGTGCGTGAGGGGTGTAGACATGTTGGTGTGTCCGGGAACGGTGTTGGGGAGGTGTTAGACAGTAATAACAAGCTTTGATGGTGTGCCCTTGGCCCAGTCTGCTGTCCAGGCTGAGAGCAGGCTGAGCCGCCAGGAGCCAGAAGCTGAGTTTTGGGACTTGCCTTGGAATCTACAGAAGTTCCCAGTGTTGTCCATGGCGATGAGTTTTCTTTGGTAAAGCCTGTCTACCAACAAGGGGTAAAATTACTTGCCCTTCCTTCATCTTCTTCCCAAATCCCAATCAAGAACCCATGCTTTTTGTGGCACACTCATTTTTCCTGCTCCTGGGGAAAGGAGGGTATTTTTTCCGTCTTCCTTTGGAAAAATGGGAAGGGTGGGCACACTTCCACTGCCCTGGGGCCAGTTTTGTCATAGCTTCATCACTGCTCATCAGGCAAAGTTCAGGCTATAAATTGACCCAATTGACTGCTTTCCTTGAAGGAAAGAATGTACCAGCTTGGGATGTAAGTATCCAATCTATTTGTGAGTTATATTTTTAATATAAACGAATTGCTTTTTTCTGATTTGTATCCTCGTGTCCTGTCCATTTTCAAAGGCAGTGAGTGAGTGTATAGGCGCACTGGGTGGGTAGTATCAGGTTTTAAATAATACCTTTGGACTTCTCTTGGCCTATTGTCTTCTGGACACTTTTAAAACAATTACTATTAAGAAAAATCATCCAATACTTGAAATATAGCAGGAGGAAGGCTACATATCCTTCAGGGGCATTGTTTAACATGTTCACTGAATAATTACTTAATTATCTATGTCTGAGAAATCACCTGTTTGACCTCACTATTTACTACTTGATTAGAGACCAGACACATTGACTTAGAGATTTGTGTCCAGTAAAAAATTAAACCCCACAGATGAATGCAATA